AGCTCTAGCTCCACCCACAGGAGGATGGCTAACTCTCTGCAGCTCTAGCTCCACCCACAGGAGGATGGCTAACACTCTGCAGCTCTAGCTCCACCCACAGGAGGATGGCTAACTCTCTGCAGCTCTAGCTCCACCCACAGGAGGATGGCTAACTCTCTGCAGCTCTAGCTCCACCCACAGGAGGATGGCTAACTCTCTGCAGCTCTAGCCCCGCCCACAGGAGGATGGCTAACTTTCTGCAGCTCTAGCCCCGCCCACAGGAGGATGGCTAACACTCTGCAGCTCTAGCCCCGCCCCCCAACAGGAGGATGGCTAACTCTCTGCAGCTCTAGCTCCACCCACAGGAGGATGGCTAACACTCTGCAGCTCTAGCTCCACCCACAGGAGGATGGCTAACACTCTGCAGCTCTAGCTCCACCCACAGGAGAATGACTAACACTCTGCAGCTCTAGCCCCGCCCACAGGAGGATGGCTAACACACTGCAGCTCTAGCCCCGCCCACAGTAGGATGGCTAACACTCTGCAACTCTAGCCCCGCCCACAGGAGGATGGCTAACATGCTGCAGCTCTAGCCCCGCCCACAGCAGGACCTCTAACAGCAGATCCAGTCCACCTGGGCGTTTCACCAGCGTACAGGTTTAATGGCTGATGTCACTGCAGATGTTACATCATCATTTAACACCTGTAATCATTTGTTAATTAACCAGATATCGTTGTGTCTCCATAAACGAGACAGCGGGAGTCTCTTAGCGTAAAACGGTGAAATCAGATATTTTCTGTATGCGGCTCTCCACTGATATTGTTTGTGCAACATAAGATGGAGCAGCTAGTGGTCATTTATCTTAATGAGAGCTGTTAACTCAGGGCTAAACTGAGAGCTGGCTCCACGCTAAAACATCCCAACATTTCTCACCAACGTCCTCCTTTCTTTCTTCCTGCCGACTTGATTTTCAGGAATGRGTTTTGCTCTCTTGTTGAAACCTTAATTACATCTAAAAGAGATTAAATTATATGTAATTATTCTGATAATATTTTCATTTATTCAAGATAACGGGTTTACTTTGGTGAACACGGTATTTGTCGAGAGAGAGCAATCTCCCTCACACAGTCAGAGTTATCAAGGCGTGAAATCAGGAATCCTGACGGCAACAAAATGTAATCTTTTTCATGCAGAAGGGACAATAGAAGGCGCCGCATACTCTCCTTCTCCACTTTAATTAAAAGAGCTGAATCTCTCCATCTCTCAGCCCCTTACCTTGTACTTTTTCTCACGAGTGCGCAGGGCTGATTCATCGTCTTCACACTGAACTTGTCTTAAGCTCCGGCCCTGAACCATTGTAGAGCAATTTATTTTGATTTGTAAATTTGATTTGGAGGTCACATGCAGACACAAAAAATGTGTTTGTAGCCTTTCATTAAAGAAAGATACACCCACCGTGGTCACTGAAAGAACTTCAAACTGACAAACCTGATAAAAATCAATCTTTGCTTTTCAAGAYCTAGTTTAATAAACACAGAGACTCGACAAAATGATTAGACCCTCAACTTTAAGTTTTGTTGTATTTTTGAGACAACACTGTAACCCCTAATTTACACTACATGCGTTCCGTCTCCGCTCCGCTGCGGTCCGACCTCCGCAGAAAACACACACCCATTATAATCCATGAGAGTGTTTACACTGGCTGCGCAKGGCGGCGGTGAGCAGATGGCGATCCGTCAAAATTAGAACAGATCCTATTTTTGCCGGACGACGGAGCTGCGCCGGAGTCAATTTTTAACGATTACGTCACACCAACAGGAAAAGAAACAAGCACAACATCCGTATTTTCAAAATAAGACACTATTCGGCGGAATAATTTGTCGGAATGTCGAAATTGCGGCTGTATTAATAAATGTACGGATATATTTCTACACAAATGCTGTCAGAATGTATSGTTCTGTTTGGGAAGCAGATGGAAACATGTAGCATGAAGCATATATACACACGATACATGTGGATTTTATTTTGAAATCAGAAGGTTCAGAAAGCCGACAGCGAGACAGTTTCAACATAGATACCAAAAGCCTTTATATCAATGTTTTCAGCTGTGTTTGGAGTTTGTCTTTCACAGAATTAATTATTTTTTGCTGTGACTTCCACACTTATCACTGAATTTATCGCGTGATCGGCTTCCTGCGCGTCTGTCGGACCGGAGTGGAGCGGAGGTAGTGTAAACTGGACTTGAAACGCACAGCTGCGACCTGCGCAGCGCAGCGCAGCGTAGCTGAGACGGAACACAAGTAGTGTAAATTAGGGGTAAGAGTTAAACAGGTCCTGCAGTCTTTTATCAGCCAAAAAGTATTTTTGTTTGTGAGACTGATTTACTAAACAAGAGCAGAATGTGTTAGATTATTAAACTTTTTAATCTGGAATCTATCTGTTTTACTGATCTGAAGATTATTTCGTTTAATTTGGGAAGATTCAGATTATAATAAAGTATTTTTAAATTTATATTTAGATGACTCATTTTTACAGTGAACCAATTGATTTTTTGTATGTTTCCACCTGTCTGCAGGTGTTCTGATCCACCTGTCTGCAGGTGTTCTGATCCACCTGTCTGCAGGTGTTCTGGTCCACCTGTCTGCAGGTGTTCTGATCCACCTGTCTGCAGGTGTTCTGGTCCCTTCCTGGTGTACAAACTGCTCCAGCTGTCTCAGGTTTGAAAGGTTCTCCAGATTTTCTACAGAACTTAAAGCAGCCCATAGAGTCGTAGACGGTCACTTCAGAACAATATCCTGTTCTTTCTGGTTTTAGTCGTATGTTTCGGGTCATTATCCTGTTGGAGGACTCATGACTGAAACCAAACTTTCTGACACTGGGCAGCACAGTTCACCTCTGGATGCCTTGATGGTCTTGAGATTCCACCCAGAGCAGATTCAGATGAAACAGAACAAAGCATCATTCATGATGATTGACAACAAAATGTAAAAAAGATGATAGTTTTAGGACACAGCTTGGTTTGAGTTTCAGGTTGTTTCAGTGATCACTGTGGGTTTGACTCTTTTAAACAAAAAGAGAAATTGGGGCGGATATTGGCGGAGTGGTTATGGGAGTTGTCATGGTGGGTTGCCAGTTACCTCACTGCAAAAAGTCTCCTCCTAATCAAGTTTTAAAATCTTATATCAGCCAAAAAGTCTTTTTGATCTTGTTTTGAGACTTATTTAC